GTCATTCCGTGGGACCAACTTTTGAATACCTGTGTCGTAGAAGTCTGCCGCCTGGGATTGGAACCACTGTGTGACAGCCATCTCCGCCTCTCTGTCATTCTCAAAACGCTGACGCTGACGCTGACCGGACAGGAATTTCTTGAGGTGTAGGAAAAGATGGAAATCACTGGGAGCGAGGTCCGGGCTGTAGGGTGAATGATTAAACACCTCCCAGCTGAACTTCTGCAGGAGACTTGCTGTCCGTCGAGCCGTGTGCGGCTTAGCGTTATCACTGACCGCACTTCACAGTCGGCTGGAGCTGGAATAAGAACCTCCATCTTCAACAGCTGCCACGATGCTACTGTGAGAACGCGGGAGGTGCCGTTAGTGCATGCGCCATGCTACGTCATTGCTCTATCACGTACGCACAGTCGCTTCGCGCAATATAAGGTTTGCTAGCTGTGGGACGAGTGGGAAACTTACTTTGTGGACGCGTCTCGTACCAACAACATCTGTGTTAATGTTGGTCTTCTGGGTTATAATGTGGCGTGGACTAATAGGTAGATAACCGAAAGGCCAACACTGACATCGTCCCTGCCATGAGGACCTCAGATCTCCCATTTGTGTGTATATCCACTCTGTAGGTATCATGAATTATGAAGTATAGTAATCCTTGTGTGAGTTGTAAAGCGGATGAAACAGTTTTTAAAGCTTACCTGAAGCAGTGTAGAGGAGTTCGGCAGCTGTCCCAAGTAGGTAGTCGGTTCCGCGTACAGCCTCCAGGGCTTCCACTCCCTTCTCTGCCAGTATGTACATGTCATAGTAACCTTTGGGCTTATCATTTTTGTATCCCCACGGTACCAACCACATTTGTGAGTATGAGTGCAGTGTCAGGTAAATCTTGATCTGATCCTTCCGAGTAAGGATGAAATCGGCCATGGCCTTTGTCTCAGGCTCTGAGAATGCCTTTGGTCCTCTGAAATCATCTGTGCAAGCGTCAGAGCTCGAGGAACGATCTTCACCCCAGTGGAAGTCCCAGTTTCTGTTGGGATCAACCCCATAGCATGTCCTCTTGCCCCATCGTTTATTTGCCTTCGCACCGGAACGAGTCTTCCTCCAGAGGCGGTCGGTAGAATGAGAGTACTCGTATCCGTCGGGGTTTGCCACTGGCATGATGTACCAGTCCACGGAGTCTATGAGCTCCGGGTGCAAATCCCGAAATTCCACCAGCTGGAGCATTATATACGTGACTGTCGCAGGGGAGATCCACTCTCTTGCATGGAGACCTGCAGCAAAGAAACTTGAGGTTCAGGTGAATGCTTTATGCTTAGTGCTTACCAGCTTTTGCTTATCCATGGACTGGTAAAGTAGCGTTGTGTTGTTTGAGGAATGGTACCTTAAACATGTTGACTTACAGTACAGAAATTAAAAATGTTATATGTTATTATAAGTTGATGAATAAATAAACACATGTTGATGTTGGTCATCTTGATAGTAATGCCGTGAAAACTTGTAGGTAAAAGTAAAGCTGTCCCACTATACACCATGCAGGCGCTTGGGGGGGAGTGGAGGTATAGCTCCTCTTTCTTGACCTCGGCACTAGATGGGGGTGAGTGGTCAGCATCACGCCCCGGCCGAAAAAAATGTAGGTAGATACCAGTATTTTTAGGAACTTGCTTCTTATACTACCTCCATCTTCAACCCTGAAGATTTGAAGATGGTTCCTCCAGCCCACCCTAAGGCCCTCAGTGTTGCAGCGATAAAATAAACATTGGCCATCTGTCATCCAGCTGACCTCCCGAAAGTAAATCATGACTTGGTGTGAAGGTAATGGGGCTTATCTGGCATGCAGATGTGTGAAGTGTTAATTCTTACCTCCGTCTATCCAGATAGCAGGTTTGTTACCGTCACCACCTGTAGACACTTTTAGCAACTTCAGATCTCGACCTTGGGATGATTTCCCTATTACCTCTGTTTGGCAGATATCAGGGTATGTTATGGCCAAGTACTCAATGTAGCTGTCAATATCTGCAGCAGAAACGCGTGTAATAGATTGGAGAATAATATTAAAATGGATCTTAACGGAAACAAGTTGTGAAGGTTTTGACTGAATTTATGTGATTTAGAACAGGGTCCAGAAATGAGTATTTGGGATCAATAAAGGGCAGGGAATTTATTGACTAGCTAAGGAACTGTTAGCTTCTTAAGAAGGGTTTCATGGAGTTAAGTTTCATATAAGCTGAAAACAGGCTGTTCATTGCATAAAGTGAAAGTGTGCGGCAGAAGTGTTCCATCTGTCTGAGACAGTGTACGGACAAACGTGCACTGAATTGTAGCAGCACTGACCCTTGTATCTGTGGTAGCGTCTCCAGGTTAGGCGATGACCACCCCTACTCTCCAGCTCATCATTCTCGGGGTCTATGGGGGGATTTTCACTTTGAATTGCCTCCTGGAAACAAAATGGTTCGTAAAAGTATTTTGGTTTGCTGTGATGGGGAGGGAATGCATGTAAATCTAAAAACTCTGAGCCCTCTATTTTCTAATGAGGTCACCACGTTCATAACCTCTGGACTAATTGTTGGTGAGTGGTCAGCTGACGTCCCAGCCATTTTACCCCCAGTGTCCATTGGGGGTTGGGTGATCCCCAGAGCCAGTCGTGATGTACCTAAAGTAAGAAGCTCTGCCCTTGCCAAGAATCGAACATAGACCATATCCTGGTCACTGTACTGAGTAAATGAAGTTCCCCCTATTTCTGTCATATACATTTTAATATTGTCATCGTCCCACTAACTGAGTAAATGAAGTTTCCCCTATTTCTGTAATATACATTTTAATATTGTCATCGTCCCAGACATTTTACACATGCTATTGATAGATGCAAGCGTCGTAAGGATGATAGATTTCCAAGAGTGGATGGTTCTTTCTCTCACCTCGAGGTTGTGAATAAGGACGTCGTACGAAATCCCATTTGCATCCAACTGTTCCACCAGGTCTTCCAGTACCTGCGGGGCGCTGAGCAGGTCGGCGCTTTGCTCTGTCCGGTTGTTGGCAGAGGTCCTGCTCGCGAACAGTTGCTGCGACCATAAGGACACCAATCCTTCGTACCTTCTTCTCCTGACCAGGTCCATGAGCGTTCCCAACTGCTGCGCTGTGGAGGGATATACTCTCAGCAGTTGGTAGCCCTCGTAAGACACGACGCCGCCATCTTGAGCTGCTACCATTGTGAGCACGCAGAGGCTTACCGTATACAGCAACATCCTGAACCTTTGCTACACAGTGTCTTGCCAGATATATACGCACCCGCGGTAACCCTCATCTCGTGCCTTGCGACATTTAATGTTACGAAATAAACTGATTCCCTACTAAACCGCTTCTCCCTTGACAGTGAATTGTGATGTGTTATGAAGCGAGACGGACTCAAGGCTTATCAATTGTAGGGCATTGGAGTTTACGTAAGATTTCAGTCTATAAAGACTTTGTTTATTTAACAACGCTGTTTTAAATGAATAGGATATATAGGTGGAAGGGTAAAGATTTAAAAGGAGCGACGTGGATCCACGAATAAAGTACAGAAATGAACGCTAGGGGAATGTTCGATGTCAAAGTGACAGGTTCACAGCGAGGACTTTTCGTAAATTTGTACTATTCGCAGAAAGCGATGAAAACATTCAGGCTCTTGGGAGGTCCAGGGTTCAGATCTCGGCCCAGAGACCGTCTATCCTGGCTGAGATTTTTCGTGATTTTACTCACTTCTTCCACATCCTTTCCAATTCATTGCTCATTCTTGTCGTATCATCCGACGCTGTATAGTCTAAATGCTGAAGGCGTCGTTAAACTACAAGTAAATTGTTTTCGATATTGAATGTTTAGTCGTGCAGATGGGTTGACGTTATCCGTGTTAGCAAATTTCAATGCTAATTTTGCTAGACTGTGCCATTTCCCGAGGAGTGGGAAGAAACTTGCGTTAGAAGGGTTATTCGAAATTTATTTAGTGGTTTTACGGATTAAACATGCACGTACGACTGCCATATCAGGTGTTCATTTCGTGCAGACTGTGGTGCGAACGTTATGTGGAGCAATGTCGTAACCCGGGTTCTGCAGGCGGCCTCGAACCCTCATTATGACTCTTCGGATGACCTCGTTTCCCGCCTGCTGCTGGCTTGATTACCTTGATCCTCGTGCCATCCCGTTCGGTGTCACAGGCAACTCCTGCGACTTGCTGCACATAAGCATATGACGTGTCATACCGCGGGGCTTAGTTCGTTGCCTGCCTGCATCAGTCCGGAGACCATTCGTAGGCTCTCCGGGGTCATCGGTGGGTGGGAGAGAGTCAAAGCAAAAGACACTTTTCCTCAAGCAGAATTATTCTTCCCTGTTCATATTTTATAAAATGAACTTATAATTGGGAAGGCTCCGTCCCCATATTTTACCTTCGAACCAACTCGAACGGATTTTCAAGGTCATATGAGATTTGAATTCCCTCTTTCAGCCTTTTCACAGCGACCGCTTGGTCACTGGGACCTTGGGTTTGAATCCCACTCAAGGCATGGATGTCTGTCCGCGTTTTTCTGTGTTGTGCTGTCCTGTGTACAGGTAGAGGCCTTGCGACGGG